AGGTGCCCAGCAGGCGGATCAGCCATCGTGGTGATGGTCCAGACTCTTACTCGAATCGCATTACTTGAATGCATCTGTTGTGATCTTCTTATGGTCCGTTCTCGTTTTACTTGTTTTCTTGAGTAAGAATCCATTTATCAGGATGTTTCAGTCTTTGTAACTACTGCTTACTAGGAAGATAGGAGCGTGATCCTTTAAGTTAGCACTCCCTGCCGTATTTATCATTAGAAATGTTCACATCAGCAAAATTCGTACTTGAGCCCATGAATTGGGCTGCAGCATTTTGGGTAGTGATGATGGTTTTACAAGAAGGAGCAACAAACCGAAATTCTTTACTGGAGACAATCATCTACGATGCAGCTGCACCAAAAGTGCACTCTGAGCCATAGCCTGAAACTTGCCCCCCTGCACTGAGGAATACTATCATCTGGCTATTGGGCACACCCTATAGAATGCTCCTATCTAATCAGGTGGAAGAGGTGAATGCCGAAACTATTACTAATCTACTCGAATAGCTAATCGCTCTATTACGTACTTATCACGCTGGTAGTGTTTTAAACAGAATTAAGTCTTGTACTATTAGACTCCTTGAATAATAAATATATGAAAGGAAAAGCTTATTCGCTAGAAATATCTGAGTTCTCCATCACACGTTCCTGTGCCGATTTTCAATTTCTATAGTTCTTAGATTCCCAGCTTTCTAGTATCAAACCCTGCATTTTCTTAGAAGTCTTAACTTGAATGCATATCTTGAGAGTAGTATGGATTAGGACTCCTGCTCAGTTCCTCTTCACTGGCCAACACATGGCTGCAATTTGCTGAAGTTGAAAGGATAACCACTTTTAGGCTAAGGACACTCAGCACTATAAATAAGCGAAATGCAAGATCCTGGCACTCTGCATACGCTCTGCCATTTGGCGAATCAGTCACCAGTCGGTTAGTCAGTCGGCCACTAGCTACTGGTACTGTACGCGCGTGCCGTGTCCAGGCTTGCTCATTCGAACACGTCGGCAATGGGGTCATCTTCATTCACAAACGGACGCAGAGCTGGTAATGGACCATTGACAATTAAAAGAGGTGTGTATTCGGCGAAGTGTTACGTGCATGGAGCGAAAAGCCGAGAAGACGGGTGCGGATGTATGAAGACGTGTCAAGTTAAAAGGGGAAAATGGCTTGATCAGGAAAATTTGCCTGAGTAGACCACATTAGCTCACAGCGGTAAGCATCAAGTGAATTCGGAGAAGAAGCATTCTGGTGGTGCAGCAGATAGCAGAAGAGTAGACGTAGTGGTGATTATGTGGTCATGAAGGCGTGTCGGAAGAGCACAACTGGCGGCAATTGACGCGTCGGTGGAGCAGTAGTTGCCTTTGTTGCACGCCTTTGCGCCCACCTTTAGCTACGTTAACTCTCATTTCGCAGGCAGCGGTTTATCTGTTATGCTTTGCCTACACTTGAGGTCCTAATCACCAATTTCACTTTTGTCTTTCACCAAATATTGTCACTGTGGACCAATTTTCATGATCAAGTTTACTTCTTCCATTTTTGCCTCACTTTTGTTTGTACCCTGATGTAGGCACTTGCTGACTGATGCATAGCACTTGCTGTCAGCTCCTTATTTACAGCTTCATGGTGTCTTTTGCCTCATATTCTTTCGCGTTTTTTGCGCATCAGTCCTTGTTATTCCTAGTCCCTGGTACACTTGCGAGTGAATAAATGGTCTAGTATATATCGTACGGCTTTTCTTGTCAAAAGGTTTGCTGAAAGTAGGCTAACCGATGTTAACTCGTATCTCGATGAAGGGAGTGGGCTCTATCGTTGCATGATATAAGTGGTCTTATCACGGTCTATAGGGTGTACTCGATAGGCCAAAGACAGTGTTCCTCACTGGAGGAGGACAAGTTGCAGGCTGTGGCCTAGAATACAGCGTTGGTGCAGGCTGTATTGTAGGTGATTGTCTCTACTAATATACTTTCAGTTTGTTGCTCCTTCGTGTTTGTTATATTTCTGCCGTAACATTAGGGTGAAATTCTATTGTCTACTCTCAAGGTCACGGGGCATGCCCTGACCCAGTGGGCGTGTGCCGTGATCCCGACAGGGCCGCGGGGGCGGAGAGACCCACAGCACTGCTATTAGACCGCCCCCACCAGCCAATAGGAGGGCTCTTGGTAGTGCCAGAACCCCATTAGCCCGTGTCAAGGCCATGGGTCAGGCGCACATGCCTCAAGCAGCCTGGAAGTGGCCCTTGGCAGCATTGGCGGGTCCACAGCGAAATCTCTGAAGTGGGTATGGCTGTGGCTAGCCCGCACCGGATTACCCACCCCAACTGCCACCTCGTACTAACTCCACGGTTGGGCGTACCTGATAAGCCCGCTTGCTGACACCTTCTATGTCATCTACACTAACTATTTACTCATACATACTGCATATGTCTACGCTTATTTCATCCCTTCCTATTGTTTTCCACGTAATTTCCTTTATGACACTGTTCTTTGCCTCTCTGGCTCTCTACTACTGCTGTCGTCTTTTAGGGACCACTACTCACACTTTTAAAGTAGTTCTCACTACTCTTTTTCACTCTCTTCACCTCTGCTTGGCTTTCCGCCCTATGCGCATCATACATACGTATATACATTCATTTCCATTCTCTAATTAACCACCCACCATTCCTTCCTCATCATTTCGTTTTCTTATCACTACCCTTCTTATCCATCCCAGTCTATTTGTCTTTTTATTATTACCTCTATTGCTACTATTATGCCTTCTCTCCTTATTACTTCTCGCCAACACAAATCCATTCTCCTATCTCATTAGTCATGTTCATCTGTCTCCTTCTTCCTTCAACTCCTCTTCTTCTTTCCCCTTTTTCTCCCTTTAATTATTCTTCTCTTTTCCCTGAGCAGTTACTCTTCATTTTAGCCTGTATTTTACTTTCCTATCTGCCATTCACACAACTCTACATACGCACGCTCCATTCCCCCACTTGGCAAAAATATCTCACTTTCTCTACATTATAATTATCAATACAAGCCATGTACATTGCTTCTTCCTTTCATATCCACTTACGTTATTGCGCTTGTGTCTCTATATCTGCATTTTACTTATGTCCCTTACTTCTCTTCACTATTTTGCTTTCAAATGAGTATTCGTTGCTTTATTTCCCATTTTTTGCATTATTTACTCTACATTTTAGCCTCTAATTTCAAAATCTACCTTTCTTTTCCCTTTATTTATTTCCTTATTTATTTTCCTTCACTTATCCCTATACTAACATATAGCTCTTTCAGATGTTAAACTTTAGCACTCTTTTAACTTTATTTATTGTTTATTAATACATTTTCCCATTCTATTTTACTTTTCCACTAATTTTTTCATCAAAAACGTCAATTTCTCTGCTTGTTAATCTGAACAACCGTCCAACGACTGCTGTCAATTACCTTGATAATTTCTTATCACTTGGTGTCATTCAAGCTTGCCTTTTTTTTGTTGGACCACTCTGAGTGCCTGCGACGGTTGTTCCTCTTCATGATCGCCTGTTCTTTTGTCTCACAATATGAACCACCCTTTTCCGAAGCAATAAAAGTGGTGCGTAGCCATCAGACCAAGACTTACCCCTGGGATTTGTCAGTCATTTCAAACAGTCCTCAAGCTCAACTTTATGTGATGCCTCCAAGTTGCCTTTTCAGTTACCTTAGTTATTCGTCAGTAGCAACACATTCATCGCGATGAGCATAAAGGTGTTGAGCTCGAAACGACACTTCTTGTAATTGCCGACAAGTGGTTGTGCTTTCATGTCTTTCATCTTTTCTTGTGTGTGCCTTGTAAAACAAGAAAGTTAGCAGTTCTTTTATAAGGGAATTGAACTTTCTTCCATTACTGTGTTCGCTTTTCACTCGCCATTTATTTGGATTGGGGAACTCACTTCTGAGCGTGAATGGGGTCATACACACCATAAGTTGGAACGGTAGTTGTAAAACGGTAAAATGAACACCAAAGCCAAGCCATTCATATATCAATAAGTCATCCAACTGTACAGTTTTTGACCCAAACTGCTAAACAAAGCGGCAGACCGACAGAGCTGTCCACAATCTGGATTCGAACCGCACAAATTCCCGGAGCATGGGCGAATAAACAGAGGGATGACATTGATGCGGCGGGCCGTGTATGCACAGAGCGTGCACCCCGTTCCATCAATGACAAGCCTGTGTCCTGCACTTTTTGAGCATTGGTTGTCTGAATGGGCAATAAATAAGATGAAAGACCCACGCTTGCGAGCATTATTAGGTGGACGCGATGCGCTGCTGCTGGCTTCGGCGACGGCTTACTGGTTCTGCTGATCATTCCACGGAGGCTTCCCTGACGGTATCGTCTCTGTGCCATCATAGTTTAAAATTCTTTACCTCCACCTACATACACTATTTCATATATCGCGCATTTAAAATGGGCTAGACCATGTGTTTCCAATTTACTTGATGCGGTGTCAGTACACTTGTAGCCGTGATAATTCAATGCCCATCTGGGTGTCGAAAAAATATTATTGGTTTTTTGAATGGGTTAGTTGTACTTTGGGATGAATCAAAATATATATGAGATGACTATTTAGGGAAACAAGCAAAATTTTCGCTTCTTACAATGTTCACCATTTTGAATGACACCCACATGATGTCGGTGAGTGTAACCTCCCTGAGGAACAATCGTGAATTGGTTCCATTCCGTTAACGGTTGCATCCTCTACCCCCATAGGCACACCACGGTGTCAGCGCTGCTGTTTGGACCACGGGGCTCAAGCGTTACAGCAGCGAGACGGATTTCGACGCCTGTTGCTTACAGCAAGGTCTCTCACGGAGAGATACATCACTGATGTGTCGATGAGTTTTCTTAGTCTTTCTGTTCTGTAGCGTCCAGTTATCTCTAAAATGACTTTTAAATCGCACGAGTCTTGAAATGGATTTGTTGGAGGTGCACAGAATGAGAAGTTGTACATGGTCAAGCGTACCGTTGAAATAAGTGTATTTCGACCACATAAGTTTCTTTGATGAACATGTGATAAATGCTCCATTTTGCGTGAGTAGTGCAATTTATGGGTTCAGATGATAATCGTGAACCGCATCAAGGGGAAATTTTCCTTTGGAATGGTGCTGAAGGCTAGACACTGTTCTACAGTGGGTAAATCCTCTGCATCAATGCCTCACCGAAGGTGAAGCCAATACGTTGGTTGTGTGTTTACCGTTCCCTATGCATATTGCAGCAATGCCTCCGTCCTCCGAACAGATGCAGTTCTACAACAACCGGTTTTGCCACCATCAGCACCAACAATTGCATCAACAACAGAAAGAGCGGG